ATATACACACACACATATATATATATATATATAATTAATTTAAAAATCAAGATGAAGTAAAACAACTGTGTTGTGAGGTCTGACTGGTGCTGGGTTATGCTCTAAGCTGTTTTCTCTCCTTTCTTCTATTTCCTTCCCTTCCTTTCTGTCTTACTTCTGATATTTTACTCTACTACAGTCTGGCCTTGAATTCCAGAGCCTCTTGCCTCAGCCTTGCAAGTACTGGGGTGACAGGTGTAATCCACCAGGCCTGGCCAGTGTGACTACTAGAGACTTGTCCTCTGTGGTCGTGGTTTCCTGACACCAGTACCCCTGACCCAGGTCATCTGGAGGACAGATGAATACATGCACCACTAGCCCCTGGTAAATCTAGATTGGGCCTCCCTGGTATTTGTTTCTAGGTCAGCACAAAGCTGTGCAGGCGGGGTATAGGCCTTTGCTGGGGACCAGGTCTTGGGACCCAGAGCACGCACCTTCTCCCACATCCCGAGCACTATGTGCTCCCAGTACCCCAGGTCCTACGTACCAAAATCCCGAAAGCCATGACTTTCAGCACACACTCGAGAGAGAAGAGGGAGGTGAAGACGATGTTGAACACTCGGAGGGCATTTTCATAGGCCACAGAGGCTCCGTAGAACTAGATGGGGAGGAGAGGCAGAGAAGTCAGAGGCCTGGCTGGGAGCCAGGCTGCAGGACTGACCTGAAGGCCCAGAGATGGCAAAGCCCTGAGCCATGAGACAGAGTCTCACTCTGGCCTCAGAATCATGGTAATGATCTCAGCTCAGCCTCCCAAGAGCTGCGATCACACACATGAGCCATGAACCACAGCATCAGCCTTCATTTGTTGCAATTTGTATCTGCTGATACACTGAGCACTTATTTACTGTAAATCATCTCAATGATGTAGCCAAGCTTTCTCATCAATTAAAAAGGCTTTTATATTTACTTTTGTGTTTATATATCCTGTGTCTATAGGCATATATGTTTATGTGTGTGTGTATCATTTGTGTGAATGCCTGTGGAGGCCAAAAAGCTTACAGGTCTTTTAGAGCTGGAGTTACAGGCAGCTGTGAGCCTGCATAAGTACTGGGCACCAAACTCAGGTTTGTATGGAAGGGCAATTAGGACCACTGAGGCCTCTCTATAGCCCTTCTCATTTTTTATTTATTGCTTGGTGCTAGTAATAGAATCTAAAGCCTAATGTATGCCAAGCAACTAGTCTACCACTCAGCCATATCCTTCCTCAATCTTTATGATATTTTTATTTGTTTTTAAAAATTTAGAGGGGCTGGAGAGATGGATCAGTGGTTAAGAGCACTAGATGCTCTTCCAAAGGACCTGGGTTCAATTCCCAGCACTCACATGACAGCTCACAACTGTCTGTAATTAAGTTCCAGGGGATCTGACACCCTCACGCAGACATACATGCAGGCAGAACACATATAATAAAGACATATCATTCAAAATTTTAATTACATATTAGTTATTACGTATGTATGAACACATGCATACATGTGCTGTCAGAGGACAACTTGCAGCAGTTGGTTCTCTCCTTCTACCAAGTGGGTCCTGGGAATTGAAATCCGGTCACCAGGCTTGGTGCAAGTGCCTTTATTACTGAGCCATCTTGCCAGCACTTTGTATTTTTGAGACCAGGCTTTACTGAGTTGTCCAGATTGGTCTTGTATTTGTGACCCTCCTGTCAGCTTCTGACAGCTGGGGCAACAGACATGTGCTACTGTGTTGGCTGAGCCTACTGGTTGGCACCATTACTGAGTTTTTGTAACCTCCAGTGTTCTACTAGTCAAGTAACACAAATCATTTATGGAGAGAGGAAGGCCTGGAGTGTGAGCTCAGTGGTATAGTGATGGCTTAGGATCCCTCAGTGAGGGCTGGGGGTATGGCTCAGAGGCAGCGCCCCTGCCTAGAATGCCCCAGTGAGGGCCTGGTAGCCTTGAGACTCCAGAAGCCCCCATCTCCAACCTAGTCCCATGTTCCACCCAGCACACATTCAAGGCGGATGTCCACTCCTCTCCACGAGGCCCCACTGAGTTCTAAGGCAGCAGGCATCTGACTTTCCAAAGATCAGAGACTGGTGGGACCATGGCGTGTGCAGGTAAGGGTAACACCAGACAACTGCAGAGACCAGCCCCAGACTTGGTTTAAGGTTTCTGGGAGGAGGAAGGAGCTGGCCTGGCAGTGTGGTGGAACAGCAGTGAAGGCTTGCGGTGTTAGAGTGTGGTCTGGCTGGGATGCTGTGAGGGTGGTGGGGGCTCACCTTCATCATTAGCACGATGGTGTTGAGAGCGATCATGGCCATGATGGTGTACTCAAAGGGCGGGGACACCACGAACTGCCACATTCGATACTGGAAGCTCTGCTTGTTCTGGGGCATGTGCCTGGTCAGCGGCTTGGCACTGATGGCAAAGTCGATGCAGGCCCTCTGTGGGAGACGCCAGCACATGAGAAGGGCCAACAGCAGGGAGGCCGGCTGCTTACAACCTCCTCATGCAGCTACCAAGATCCCTTGTTCTGCTGGATCCAGCCTGGCTCCCTGCAGTCCTTGGGGGCTCCTCACAAAAACTGACAGTCTGTTGCCTATGGCAACCTGGGGAGTCAACACACTGCTGCCCGGTTCCCTCCTGGAATCTCCCTGGCAAGCCATAATCCACAGCACCAGTTTGTGGATGAGGAAAGCCAGCTCAGAGAGGCTGGACTTGAGGCGCAACTGTGAATGGCATTAGGCAGTGCCTGCCCTTAGGGTCTGACAGGTCCTTTATTTTCACTCTCCCCACACCTCTCTCTCTCCCCCCCTCTCTCCAGGATTTCATGTAGCCCAGATGGTTCCAAGCTGCCTGTGTAATAAGATGACCTTCTATGGTGCACAGGCTACCCAGGGCTTCCAGGACTCTAAGTAGGGACTCTACCGCCTAAGCTCCATTCCTAGCACCTGTCTCCCCTTTTGGGAAGGGTTCTCACTCTGTAGCCAGTGCTGGCTTCAAAACAGTGGTCCTCTTGCTCCACCTTCTGAGTAATGGGCAGACAGGTCTGCCACCATGGCCAGCTAAACTATTTTTTCTTTCCCTTGTTTCTCCTTGTGTGTAAGGGAGGCTGTGGACACAGGGGAGGATGGGTTGTCCAGTGCTGTGGAGGCAGAGGAGCTGTGCTACAGAACTACAAAGGCTGTGTAGCCTGAAGCCAGGAGGGACTGGCTTGAAAGAGCCATGAGGAGTTTGGCTATTACCAGTTGAAGTCTCCATGGACATCAGGTACTAGAAAACAATACAGAGGGACTGGCATTACTGAGGGACTGGGTATGTTAAGACACTGCTCAGTGCCTAGTTCAGTGAGTCAGACAGGACTGTTCACAGGAGAGTTAAGAAAAAGGTTGATCTTTCCAGGATCTTCAGGCCGTCATGGGGTTTGGGGGTTTTACTGATCTTTATGAGGTAGGAGAGGCTCTGGTGTATATATCTTAAGGACTCACAGTAGCATGAAAATTGGGTTTAGGAAGTACCAAAGCAATTGAGATGAGAGAAAGGCAGACAAAAGGGCCTGATGGGGTCACCTGAAGGCAAATTTGGGAAGGCCTGTATTGAGAGTTCTGAAGGAAAAGTAAAGAAGCCAGATTCAGTGCTTGTGAGACACACCCTGAGCAGCAGTTCACCACAGGGAGGAAGGTGTGACTGCTAGAGCAGTGTGCTGTGTGGGTAGGAAAGACTAAGCATGTACTCATTGTAGACGCTGTCCCCCATGCAAGAAAGTATACTTGAGGGTAGAGACTGTTCACTCAGCTTGGGTATGGCTGAAGGAGAAGCCGAGTGTCAGTGTACACTGTTACTTTCCTGTTAGTGTTACCTTCTGAATCTCACAAACAATGGCACTTTCTTGTAGCAGCAATGGTCAGAGACCCTGGCCCCTCTCACAGCAGGGTCCCATTATTTGATGCTAATCTGGGAATGTCCTACAGATCTGGGAAAGCATCTGGAAGAGCAGAAAGCAGCAGGTAAAGGGTCTGAACAAAAGCCTCCTGTGTGGGTGGAAAAGGCATTCCCAGCTGTCATAAACTTGCAGGAGGCCCTCAGTGCCAAGGGTGGGCTTCCTCCTTGTGCGTAGTTGGCCACAGTGTTCCCAGAGGCCCCACAGAGCATAAAGACCACTGTTACTGCTCTTGGTTGCATGCTAGAAATTGCTAGACCTTGTTGAAGACACTGCATGTTGTGGTTTCAGGACAGAAATGAAGCTGGGATGACTGGAATTCCTCTCACTATTGCTGGCTGCTTTTTGTAGTACCTGAAAGAGTGATATAGGTTGCTGAGGGAAGACTGCCATGAACGATCCTGTTCAGGTATAGACCCCATGTACTACAGTACTAGGCAAGATGCGCTCACTGGTACAACAACGGTACAACTGTTATGTGTGCAACCAGCTGCTATCTGAATGGATTTAAGGCCTGCTTTGCAGGAAAGGACCTCATGTGGTACTGCAAGCCAGGACCAAAATATATGTATTTGGTGAAGTCACAAGTCCCAGTGGATAGTCCACTGCCATTGTTTCAATAAACAGAAGTGATAAGTCAGTCATACTGTCTTCTGAACATTTGTAGTCCATGCCTACAGATGCTGCTGCTGTCAGTTTGGGTTGTGGAGGGACACTTTTTTTTTGGGGGGGTAATAAGTGGTGGTTATTGCAGAGACTTAAAACTGGTCAAGTTTTAGAGAATAAGTGGCTTTTTGTGGCAAAGTGTTCCCATGCTCTGCTGTAAGTGGAGGAACATAGCTATTTATATCACCAGATCCAAGGCTCAGAGAACACTGGTGAAGAGAAGGCAGAAAAAAAAAATGTAAGAGCCAGAGGAAAGTGTGTGGTTATCTGTAGTTCTTTCCTATGAAAACTCTGGCTCTTTAAGCAAGGAAGAAGGCTCACAAGGCTCAGGAAGCTCGGGAAACTGACAGAACTAAGGCAGCACAGGAAGCTCACACGACTAAGGTCACAAAGGTATATTCAGTAGGCTTCTCCACAATGTTATGTAGTAAAGAACTGTTGAAGAGCCTTTTCCATATAGCTGCCTGAAAAGTGTGCGGGGAGCTCCAAGAATGGATACAGCTCTCATGAGGCATCACCTATGCTGATGTGGGCTTTTTGGTGATACAGTTGTCTTGAAGTCAACTATGTTTCTGTAAGTAACCCCAATAAGCTAGCAGGTTCATACAGCTAGACCTGGGTGGCTAGACTGTCTCTTTGATTTGTCCTTGGTGTGCTATCTGGAGGTGAACAGACATCTGTTTATATATCCTAAGAGAAAAATCATATAGTTACTCTGGGAGGAACCAAGGGCTAGATTGTGGGCTAGACCACAGCACACTACTCTTTGCTCTGAAGTATCTTGGAAGAAGGTTGTGTGTGAGCTTGGCCAACACAGATAAAGAAGGCATGGGCAGGACCACAGAATAGGACTTGCAGCATGAGCAAGAAATCAGACCCTTCATGGATACATGGGGTTGCTTGTCATTGTACCACAACTGCATCTAGGAAGACTGATATATCCTCCCTATATCTGATGTGTGTATGTCCCCGCCACCCCCAACCTGGAAACCAAGGAGAGCTACCTTGCAGACTGTCCCATGCTTGGGAACATTTGCTGCTGTTCTGTTCCAGATTTTTTCCCACAAGTTGGTTGTATTAGGTTTCAAACCCAGGACACATAGCTAACTGAGGTACCCATTAACATATCAAAGTGGACCTCACACCAGGTTCTCCCTGCATCCCTCAGTCCCTACCTGTTAAAGGATATGGATGGCACACCCCAGCCCCTATCTTAAACTTCTCCAGCCCAGGGGCTGGGCTGCCTTCCTCCTAGCTGCTCTTCCCTATACAATGTAGCCATTTCAGTTACCTAGATTTTTGGTCTATCCTTTACTCTCTTGGCCAGTCTCTTGGCTCAGGCTACCCATCTTGGTTGGTGGTTCCTCGCCCCTCTCTTCACATGGCCTGGCTCAGGGTCATGTTCACTCTGGACTCTCCTAGATATCCCTGCCTCTGGCTATGCTCTCCCTTTTATCTATAATAACCCTCCCCTCCACCATACCTAGGAGCAGTCATGTCCTTCCTTCCTTCCTTCCTTTTTTTTTTCGAGACAGGGTTTCTCTGTGTAGCTTTGGAGCCTGTCCTGGCACTCGCTCTGGAGACCAGGCTGGCCTCAAACTCAGAGATCCGCCTGCCTCTGCCTCCCGAGTGCTGGGATTAAAGGCATGCACCACCAACGCCCGGCATGTCCTTCCTTTTTAATTTCATTTTTTTTCATTCATACGGTACCCATAGCCGGGACTGGCATGAGCTCCCTTCCAAGGAACTGGGCTGCTCTGAACCAAGCTGCTGATCTGTCTCTCCTAAGGTCTGTTTCCACTGACTCCTGTCATCCATCAAATTTGACCCCAAATTCTAGAGTCCGCTGTCTCACTACTTCTCCCCGCAACACCCACATGCTCTAACCACGCCTGTCCTTGTCTATGCCATGAATGTATCTCTGACTCCTAGGGCCTTCTCCATCTCCCATGGAACCCAGCCACCTGGACACTGGCTTCACATCGCAGCTCCACCGGCTACATCTGTCTGGATCTCTCTACCAAAGACACTTACTGTCTCCCTTTTCCCCTGCTCGCCCATCTCTCTTGACTGGGTAAGTGTCACCCCAAGCTGCCTGCTTTGTCTACTATTACTACAAAAGCCACACCAGGGTGCCAGGAAGCTCCTCTCGCCCTACTTAGGCCCCAGTCACATGGGAAGGGACACCTTTCCTCTGGGATTTGGAACACTTTTCTCTCTGACAAGTTTCCCACTCTGCTTGGGGACGCCCTGGATGGAAATTCTTGTCACAAGATTTTATCCACTTCAGTTCAGCTAGCTCTCCCTCACCTCCTCTGGGAGCTGCAGGTCTGCCTGAGGCAGTCTGAGGCCCTTTTCCTTGCTTCTTCCCACTCTGCTTACTCTATCTCTTTGTACCTTCCTCAGCCTACGCAAGTTTTTGTTTGTTTGTTTGTTTGTTTTTTGTTTCTTTCTCCTAGGAGCTGCAGTCCCACCTGCTGTCCCACTATGTGATTTCTCTGCCTGCTGTCCCCCTATGTGATCTCTCTACCTGCTGTCCCACTATGTGATTTCTCTGCCTGCTGTCCCACTATGTGATTTCTCTGCCTGCTGTCCCACTATGTGATTTCTCTGCCTGCTGTCCCACTATGTGATTTCTCTGCCTGCTGTCCCACTATGTGATTTCTCTGCCTGCTGTCCCACTATGTGATTTCTCTGCCTGCTGTCCCACTATGTGATCTCTCTGCCTGCTGTCCCACTATGTGATCTCAACCCTGCTCCCTCTCAGCTCCTTCCTGCAACTTCCTTAAGCCTGTCTGGCCTGTGTGACTCTGTTCTCTCATATCTCAGCTCCCACTTACGGTCCTGTCCACAGTTTTTGCTCTCAGCCCCCTCTTAAAGTGGCCTGCTCTGTCTCTCAGAGGCCCTTCCAGGTCTCTCTTCACTTGCCCAGAACTCCTCCTTCAGCTTCACTAAGCCAGTGCCCCTCACCTAAGGATGCACTTTCTCTTGGTGCTAATAGAAATCCCTCCAGCAGTCTTGTCCTTTGAACCCTCTCTTCCTCCAAGACTCAGATCTTATTGCAACAGCTTTTGTTACAGATCCACGGCCAAACATTGGCACACTTGATTTCCAAATCCTCACAAATCGTTAACAACTGCCACTGCATAAACAAATGATCCCCAAATCTCTCTTATCTAAACTAGCTCTGCTCCACACTTCCCACTCTTAAAATCTTTTATCTCTATGATTTGTCTGCACTCTGCTCTCAAAGTCTCTTAAGACTACACCGTAAATTGTATGTCAGGATTTGTAAGTTCATTGGGTACGGTTAAAAAATATTATAAAATCTGCAACAAAGAAGTCAGCTTAAAACTTGTAACAAGCCGGGCAGTGGTGGCGCACGCCTTTAATCCCAGCACTCGGGAGGCAGAGGCAGGCAGATCTCTGTGAGTTCGAGACCAGCCTGGTCTACAAGAGCTAGTTCCAGGACAGCCTCCAAAGCCACAGAGAAACCCTGTCTCGAAAAACCAAAAAACAAAAACAAAAACAAAAAAAACACCTTGTAACAAAAGGTTGAGTCTTAATTTGCTATATGTGACTCAACCCTTATTTAGAAAAATACATCTACTTACTGTTCATGTAACTTGACTTCAACTCATATCTAAAAAATGATCTACAAAAATTGATATTTTAAATAACAGCTCCGTGGCTGGCAGCCATCTTTACTAGGGTTAAAAGGTATATGCCATGGGACTTAACCACCATCTTATGATGACCATATAAAATAAACCAATTAAGGCAACACCTATACTTCTTTTTAGTCCTACTGAGCCCTCTGTTTCCCCTTTTGGACTAATGAAACAACAACAGGGGTCTCCAAAATATTTTGGATTGGTATGGATTATGATGGTAAAATTTTAAGGTTATACAGGTCTACTTGGATGAACAAAGCTGACTTAGAGACTTACAGCTAACTACTTATGTCTTTGCTAACTTCAACTCCAGGCTTCTAGAAAACTAAGATAACAAAAGTGTGTTTGATAAATAAGGTATATTAGATAATAAGGTCTATAAATTCCTAAGGTCTACTCAGGGTCACAGTAATGGCCATCTAGCTTCATGGTCTCTGCTCACTTTGTTAAGTTTTTATTACACTTTAGCTATCTGGATAAACTGAGTCACACAAAAAACTGATATTCCATAATGGTGCCCTATAAAAGGATCAGAAGAGTTTCCAGTCTCCCTATGGACTGTATGTATGGCTTAAAGCTTTATTTTGATACTAAAAGTAATTCATTAAATATTCAACTCAAATTTTTAAGGCTCAAACTTAATAGGGATAAAGCTGTAAATTCCTAATTTCATAAAAGCTACCAACTTAAACCATTATAAATAATTAAAACATTCGGGGGCTGGAGAGATGGCTCAGAGATTATGAGCAGTGGCTGCTCTTCCAGAGGTCCTGAGTTCAATTCCCAGCAACCACATGGTGGCTCACAACCATCTACAATGAGATCTTGTGCCCTCTTCTGGTGTGCAGATATACATGGAAGCAGAATGTCGTATACATAATAAATAAATAAAATTAAAAAATAATTAAAACATTCAAGTTAATGTGTTTTCAAAGTTTAGCCTAGAACAAGTAACTAAATCAGGTATTCTTAATAAATAGATGGTCCTTAAATTTTTCAGAGAGCTGCTGAATATGGCATTTAAAATGTTTAATAAAATAGATTCCCACACATTCACTGTCATCTCCCTGTAGTACAACTGAAGAGCTGACTGGACCACGAGGTTTTGTTCCTGGCTTTCAGAAAACCAATGCCAAGACCCCTCCTAGTGTCCACATCGTCCTCTGGCAGGAGCACCTGTCCATCTGCCTCCCACCTGCCCTTTGTACCCCCTGGGGTCCCATATCCTACCTCCTACCCCTCCCTGCCCATCTCCTCCACAAAGAAGCTGAACCCTTTCTGCATAAAACCAGCAATTATAAATACTTTTTTAAATGTACAAAACATAAAAACAAAACACAGTTTTAGAAAAAGACAAGAAGAGAAACAGAGAGAGTGCGTGTGTGCAAGAGGTTGTGAGCGGGGCTTCAAGGTGTTGAAAATCCCTGCAAGTGTGCACTGAGAAATTTATCTACAGGTCGTTTGACAAAAATGAACAATATCCTATTAACTGTATATACTGTTTTATTGTAAATTGTGGATTGTATATTACATTCTGTAAACCTGCTGTGGTTCCGTGGTGTGCAAATTCGCATGGTGGTGGAGGGGAGAACCTCTTGGGAGCTTTTTTTTTCTTTTCCTTTTTCTTTTTTACTTTTTTGGGTTTTATCTTTTGTTGTTATTGTTGTTTTCTGTTGGCAGGACACACCCAAAGATCCAAGTTTGTGTTAAAAAGAAATGAAAAAAAGCAAATAAATTAAATAAATAAATAAATAAATAAAATAGCTTCCCAATAATAGACATGCCAGCTTCTACAGGGAACCCTATGGTCTACAGAGAAGACAGATGGGGAACAATGATTCCACCTGAATTGTGACAGTAACCAATGGGCAAAACCAAGCCTCTACCCAAACTATGGACACTATAGAGTTGACTGTCCTGCTCTGCCTCATCATAGTAAGGTCAGTTCTCCCAAGTTCCTTCTCCACAGAAAATCTGTCAGACAGGGGTCTGGCAGCAGAAGGCCAAGGCTGCTCTGTGTGGCATCTGAAGACTAAATGCTGTCCTATATGTAGCTGCCTCCAACAAAGCACTGAGCTCATAGAAGCCTAGGGCAACCCTCTAGGTAGTGGGTAAGTCTCTGTCATTTTAATCAATACATATGCCATTCGGATTATATTTCCAGCTATAATTTATCCTTCTCAGATCTCTATTGATATTTACTAACTGTAGCTTTAACAGCAGCAATTTCAAAGCGGATGCATGCAGCCGGGTGGTGGTGGCGCACACCTTTAATTCCAGCGCTCAGGAGGCAGAGGCAAGGGGACCTTTATGGGTTCAGGCCAGTCTGATCTATAGAGTTCTAGGACAGCCAGAACTACATAGAGACACTGTCTAAAAAAACCAACCAACCAAACAACCAAACAACCCCCCAAGAAAACAACAACAGAACAAAAAAACAAACAATGGTAATGCTAACATATCTAAAAACTCTTTATAAACTGAGACAATTCTTTTAAGCTTTAGAGAACTGAATTGAATCTGCCTCTCACAGGTCAAATGGAGTACCTATAATTACTGCTAAATTTCCCTACCTGCCTATTCCTGAGTTAAGATCTCTCCTCCTTTCCCTGGTCTTGGGACTTCCCTGGTCCTGCAACTACCTTGAGGTCTCAAATGTACATGCTGGATAAAAAACTTTCCCCATCAGATTTCCAAACAACTACTGCAAACCACTCCAAACTAACCAGCCAGCCCAACATGCTTCTGATGGAATTCCAACCATCCTGAGCCTCTGGATCCAGCAGCTAGTTCCAAGTGGTGGTTTGAAAGAAGATGGATGGTCCCCAACGGAGTGGCACTATTAGGAGGTGTGGCCTTGTTACAGTAGGTGTGGCCTTGTTGGAGGAAGTCTGTCACTATGGTGGTGGGATTTGAGTTCTCCTATTCTCAAACTACTCCCAGTGTCACAGGCCACCTCCTGTTGCCTTTTGATCAAGATGTAGTCAGCACCATGTCTGCCTGCATGCCACCATGTTTCCTGCCATGATGATAATGAACTGAACCTCTGAACTGTAAGTGAGTCACCCCAATTTATAAGAGTTGCTGTGGTCATGGTATCTCCTCACAGCAACAGAAGCCCTAACTAAGACACCCTAGGTGGTCCAGCCTCACAGACTGGACCAATAAGGCCTATACTTTTCTAGCCCCAGATGGTCCTGCAGAGCCTGAATAACCAGTGAAACACCCTGCTCTTTCAGGCCTTGGCCAGCATTCCATCTGTCTTGGGTTCCCAATGTCATCAGGAAGCAGTCATAGAAAAGATTGTATGTCCTCCCCCCAATCACTGATTAGCAACAAAAACCCTGGGATGTTAGGTCTCAAACTCGGGACAAATGGCTAACTGGGGTGCCTATTTAACATATCAGAGCAAACCTGGCTGCCAGGTTTTCCCAGAATCCCTCAGTCCCTACCTGTTACAGGGTATGGCTGGCATACCCCAATTCCTACCCTAAACTCCCCAGCCCAGGGGCTGAACTGTCCTTCCCTATACAATCCAGCCATTTTGGTTACCTGGCATTTTTGGTCTACCCTACACCCTCTTGGCCAGTCTCTTGACCCAGGCCACCCCTTTTGGCCCCTCTTGGAGAGGTCCTCATCTCCTCTTTCTCTTCCCCCTCTCCTCACATGGTCTGGGTCAGGGTCATGTTCACTCTGAACTCTCCCTGATGTCCCTGCTTCAAGCTATGCTCTCTCTTTTAATCTACAACAAACCACCTCCTTCACCATATCTAGGAATAGTCACATCCTTCCTTTTTTCTTTTTCTTTCTAGACAGGGTTTCCCAGTAGTTATGGAGGCTGTCCTGGAACTTACCCTGCAGACCAGGCTGGCCTCAAACTCACAGAGATCTGCCTGCCTCTATCTCTAGAATGCTGGGATTCAAGGTGTGTGCCAGTACCACTGCCCAGCTGACATCCTAACTTTTTTAATTTCTTTTTTTTTTCATTCAGTTTTCTTGCTCTGTATGTGTGTGCACCTGAGAGTGAGCAAGCGAGTGAGCGAGAAAGAGAGCGTGTGTGTGTGTGTGTGTGTGTGTGTGTGTGTGTGTGTGTG